TTGATCTATTAACTATTTTTGGGAATTAATCTATTGATCATTTTCTCCGTGTGTCTTCGCTATTTGCGCCTAAATAATATTGTCCGAAGATGTGAAAGAAACTTGTCTTCATGTACGATCATTAATCATAGCCGGACAAGACTCTCGTGTGTTATAAAGAAAAAAAACACGTAATATCGAAATTTAATTTGCCCCGTTGGTCGAACGAAATGATTAATTTCGATCTACGCTTCATCGGTCAATAACAATCAATTCTTTATGAAATGTCAATTTTTAATATGTAAATATCTTTATCATGAAAGCGTGTCAGATAATCACTGAAATTGTACATACATGTGTTTTCGCGGTGTCCTTCCTAGTGACGGACGTAAAGCGAGGACAGGCGGACCAGAACTAATAGATTCGTTCAGACCGATGCCAATGGACAATGTGCGATTGTGTTGAATCGTATTGTCTTGGCGTTTCTGTGAAAAGGTTACAGTAAAACCAAATTGACTATTAACCAAGTAAAATTTCTTAAGAAAACGTCTGTTTTACACCATCAAATACTTTCAAAATATTGCAAGTTATAGAACGGGTCATCCTGATTCATGGTACAGCGCAAGAAAAATTCATACAAATAAGGCAGTGTTGTTGGTAACAAAACTGATTTTGTATCGTAGATCATCTCCGTCATAGGCAGGACGCTGTTAAATTGTTTAAACGGGATCTTAGGAAAACAGTCAATTACTCACTGGATTGGATAAATATCAAGTAATTGATCCTCTGGGGCCATTGGAGACATCCTGTTATTACAGCGCAACTCTTCCCGACATTCTTTGATTAAGACGGCAAATGCAAAATTGAAAAGAAGAAAAAATTAAAAAAGGGTCGGGTTAAATTGATTTTGTTTTAGGAAGTTCCCTCTCCCCTAGTTTGGCCACCTTGGCCTGCATATCATCGTTAAATCTGACAGATCTTTTCGTTTTTTTGTCATCTTCAGTGGTGGATGTCCGTTCCTGAGAGACTAAAACAGTGAGGCATAACAAAATTGTCGGAAACGACCAAACAACATAGCAAAGTTCAATGGATTAGTTATTCAAAAAACCAAAGCAGAGATTTATTTAAAAGATGATTTATAAAAAAATTCACCACTGAAATTCTAATTACAGGCTTGGTGGGTGCGTGTAAGGAGAAACGTCGTGATCGGTCCATCTCAAAGGTCCAAGGACTCCGTTCTCCGTCATGCAACCAACAATCAAATTATGTTGCCAAATAATAGCACGACTGATAGTGCAGTTTTTGTTTTGTTTGAAAATCGTGGAACTTTCATCCTTCAGAGTTTTAGAAAGAGGGAATCGATGGAATATCGAAAATATTTCCTAACATTAACAGTTAAACTAACTATGTCAGTCTGCTTCATTGACATTCCTGGTGCAATGGAAGATAAAGCACTTGAGTGATTTTTTGTAAGAATCTGCCGGTTGATAATCCTGTAATCTGATCTTTTATAATTTGTACAAAATAAGACAAAATAACAAACAGGCATGATCACCAAAGATGGGAAAATGTCGCCTGACAGACAAAACCAGCGAAGGTGAACAGTTCGGTATTTATGAAGTTGCATGATTTGAAGATGGAATGTTTACGTTGGATAGTTGGATTTATTGATTTCATAGCAATCTTTGGCTATTCTATTAAGTGGAAAATAAAGAAAATGTTCTTCCGTAGTTTAGTCGTTTTTGGCATTTTGATCTGCCTATACCAACATTTTCTTTCTTTCAGACATGTTTTGGCTTTTCACTATCTTAAGTGGTAGGCTTATTTAGCGATATATGGTCCATGATGGATAGATTCCTCGTCATGTCAAGCACGGTTTGGCATTTTCTGTTGTGGGTTTATTTAGCTATATTACGATCAATTCTGGATAAATCATAGATAGTTAAGTCAATTTACTGATAGTCATAGATATAGCCTGGCCCTTTCACATACAGTTGGGCATTTTGTCAACTTCAGTCATTTTACCTGTTAAGGTTAATATGATATTTCTATCGTTCATGCTATCCATCTTCCTACATTTCTTGCTCCTGGAGAGTGCTGACAATGTGAGGACCAAAACAGCGAGTAACCGGAAACGACCAAGCTTGACCCAACTACAGGTTCACCACTAATGCAATATTTAGCTATCCTTTTAAGAAGAAAATGAAAAAACGTTCTTTTGAACTTAATTCGTCCATTTTGATCTGAATTTCCTCCCTGTTTTGGTCGGCCAAACGTGTTTCGGCATTTTGCCATCTTCAGTGGTGGGTTATTTATTTAAAATTTTCTTCCGTAGTGTGGTGACTTTTGGATCTCAAACACTCAAAAATGTGTTTAATGGCAAAATTAGCAGGGTTGGGCAGACCAAAATGATCAGAAACGAAAAACTACAAGTTTGACGCTTGTTCCATGACGAAAAGCGTGGAAAATGGACAGTTGAAAACCTATAGACATACCATTCAGTACTTAGCAAACTATCAATAACAACATACATTCTTATTGCATGCAATACAATAAAATTGGCGAACAATCAACGAAACATAAACATAATCTGTATTGGAGAAGGCGAGAAGCGGAATTCAAAGATACTGGAAAGGACTAAAGTACAGAATTCAGTTTGCAACATTGTATTTAAATTGTTAAAATGGTTTATTTTTTAGCCTTTTTAACATCCACTAAAGCTGGGCACACTGACGAATAGTAATAGATGATAGCGCAATAATGAGTGGATCCTCAAAGTTGATCAGTAATGATAAAAAATTCCACTAATTCCCCGACCAATCAGTTAAACTAACAGTTGTTAGTCTTTCTTTACTAGTTTCTTCGTTAGTGGGCATTTCAGTACAATATAATGACAGACCCGGGAGTATGAAATTGTTCTGAACGAATAAAGAACAGTTATAGTTTAAAAAAAATGAAATTACATTTTTGAAATTCTTAACCAACTGACGTTATTTTGAGTTGTTTAGACATTTTTCACAAAAAGTGGGCTTGTTGAGGTTTATACCCGTTTTACCCAACGTTAATTAACCAACTTGGTAATCTCCAATAATGGCCAATGGGTTTTGTTCGTAAGGTTGAAAATTAATATGCGCGCGACCATTATTACTTGTCTTAAGTTGTCTCAAGAGTTATCGGCGTTCCGTTAACAGCACACCTGCCCGACCTCGGGTACACACAATTGACAAAAATCGCACGACCCGACGGACCCAAAGTTTACAGAATGCCAAACCCCAGGCGTGAAAGGCACCAACTAAATATATTCAAATACGAGATGGTTATCGTTTTTTATTTCTCGTTGAAATAATTACAACCGTACGGGGAAACCGTTACCTGTTGGATTATAAATAGACGGGTTTGTTTCCTGCTTTCAATTCAAAGAGAGTCGATTAAACGTCCACTTCAAAAATATTACTCTTTAATTAAGCCACGTATTTCTGCCTTTGTTTAAAATAAGAATGTAAATTTGCAATTTTATATTAAACTACATTCCACTTATATTTTATAAAATTTTTAACAAATAATAATCTGCAATATTCGTTTAATATTTATACTAGATAGATACCGATAGCGCAAACATCTCTCTCTCTCTCTCTCTTAACCTCTTCCTCTTTCAATCTCCTTCACCCACTCTTTCCCCCTCTTATTATTGCTCTCTCTCTCTCTCTCTCTCTCTCTCTCTCTCTCTCTCTCTCTCTCTCTCTCTCTCTCTCTCTCTTTCTCTCTCTCTATCTCCTTCACCCACTCTTTCTCTCTCTCATNTCCTCTTTCAATCCCCTTCATCCACTCTTTCCATTTCTCATTATTGCTCTCTCTCTCTCTCTCTCTCTCTCTCTCTCTCTCTCAATATCTTCCTCTTTCAATCTCCTTCACCCACTCTTTCTCTCTCTCATTATTGCTCTCTCTCTCTCTCTCTCTCTCTCTCTCTCTCTCTCTCTCTCTCTCTCTCAATCTCTCAATATCTTCCTCTTTCAATCCCCTTCACCCACTCTTTCCATTTCTCATTATTTCTCTCGGTCTATCTATCTCAACCTCCTTCACTAACTCTCTCTCTCTTTCTCTCTCTCTCTCTCTCTCTCTCTCTCTATCTATCTATCTCTCTCTCTCAACCTCCTTCACTAACTCTCTCTGTCTTCCTCTCTCTCTCTCTCTCTCTCTCTCTCTCTCTCTCTCTCTCAACCTCTTCTTCTTTTCTCTCTCTCTCTCTCACTCACACACACTCCCTCTTAATTTCTCTATCTCTTAACCTCACTATCTGTCTGCCTTTGTCTCTCTTTTTTTGTATCTCTCTCAACTTTCTCCATCTACTTCACTCTATTTTTCTCTCTCGCTCCTTCCCACCTCTTTCTTGACCTGTACATTCTCGGTGATTCGGCCTGTCAGAACACGCATTTCGGCATTTTGCCATCTTCAGTGCACCGTTTGTACATTGTTGTTGTAATTTACTTGATTACATCCTTGGCCCACTACTAATTGCCTGACCGTCTAAAACAGTGAGGATAATCATACCTAAATTATTGAAAACGACCAAACTACAAACCAAGTGTCTTATCCTTTTCAATGGAAATTCTTTTTCTGTTAAATTATTTATATCAATCTGCTATATATTAGTTTTTACTATATTTTTCACTTTTAGATACACTAGTCGGGGTGTGTACTGTACTGCGCCCTTTAAGAGCTATTGTATTATATTTTTCACTATAACAACACAGTTTAGAAGTACATTTTTGCCGTGGTCAATTATAGCACAGTTTAGTGTGGTAATTTTTACAATGTGAACAAGATATCCACAATCTATATTGGTTATTACTGTATTATAGTTAGTTAACATTAGTAGAACAAGAGTACTTAACAGCCTTACAAGGGACCAACTTTTGTTGTTAAGTACATAAAAAAAATCAAGTCAAATTTTACTTTACTATATACTACTATCGATTTAAGCTTCACTAGCGTTTAATATAATTTTTTTTTTTTGGTTTCAGAGTGAGCTGACAGGCGCAAAACGTGCAGTGTTAGTTCAGTGAGTGGTGTGATGAAATGTGACGTGAACGCGGCATCGGGACGATGATAGAATGCGAGGAGCAGCGATGCGGCAGTGCGGGCCCACAGATCCTCGGGGGGCGGCGCAAACTGGAGGACGAGGACGTGCCGCCCCCGGAGTTGCCCCCGCGCCCCCAGCTCTGCCCCAGGCACCCCGACCGGCCCCATCAGGCCTCCATCGAAGCCCACCTCTCCAAGAAAAGTAAGATTAACATTACTCGAAAAACGATTAAGTGTTTTAAACAGGACCAAATTATATTTATATTATATTTGTAGTTATTGTTCAGTTTGCAATATGTATATTTAAATTTATATTGTTACCATTTAACAAATCTCTGCTATCTCCGAGGCAGTTTGCGAAGTTTTGTTTCCAAACTTGCACGGATAACGGAAAGGATTCGCAACCACTTCTGCAATCTAACATCTCTAATTTACAAGTAATTTGCAACTTGTACAATGGCTTTACTCACGCTTTAAATAGTGATTAAAATATTACTGATGTTTTAAGAGTCACTTTTCTGTGCCCCTTCGAAGTTTTTCTCCCTCGCCGGAGGATCCGTTTCATTAATTTTCAAATTCCTTTTCGAAATAACTGTTCATGATCGCCATGTTAGAAAGCGAACGAAACGAAAAATCGAAAACCCATTCCTGGGTCAGAGATAGAGGGCTAGAGGTCATCTCTGAGATGTAAATCCTTGTTTGACCCAGTGAGAAGAGGCGCACGAATGTAATTGCGATCTGGACTTATTTTCTTTTACTCTTCAACTTACGAGGGACGACGATGTTGATGGGATAAAACTTTTTTTGGTGATTCTACATTCCAAAATACCGGACACGTATGCGCCACTTTTTGTGTCTAGGCCCTGGTTTCGCCAAATTTTTTGTTGGTGTGTTGAAGGTGTTGAGGTGTTGGTTGAGATGAAAAAGTTAGTGCACGAGCTGGATTCGAACCCAAGACCTTCGGCTCGTATTCGGTATCGAAGTCACGATAGCTCAACTGGTTAAGCGGCCGATAGACGATCAGTATTATTGCAAAATATTTTGGGTTGTGCAATATAATTGATCGTGAGTAGACGATATTGAAAGTTCGTGCAATACATTGCACGATTGACGAAAAGTTGAAAATATATTGTACAACCTGGAAAATATTGCACCGTCTGTTGGCATTATTGCGCAATATCAGTCAGTTTGTGAAGTATCAACAAGTGGTACAAACTATTCAAGTTCATTACACAAATAAAATTTTGTACAATATTATTGAACGTCAAATTATTGTGCAATCTATATTGTACAATAATATTGACCGTCTATGGGTCGCTTAACAGCAGCGGCGTATCGAGCCGATATGGTCGTGGGTTCGAATCCAGCTCGTGACACTTAACTTTTTAATCTCAACCAAGACCTAAAAAAGAATTATTAATTGAAATATTAATATAGTCAATTAGACCACTAAACATAAATATATATTTTTTTAAAGTTGAAATTTTCCATTTTTTAATATTTTTATTTCGCTGTTTTGCTCCAATAAACTATTTGAATATATCATTTTACATCACTTTTTTTGTAATAGTAATAAAAGTGTACTAAAAGCTAACAAAGTTGATCAATAACCAAAAATTTTTTAAAAAACAAATATATCTCAAGTAAACTAGGTCATAATTTTTTTTCGCGAACGTAATATGAAATTTCGTTTTAGTTCTTGTAGAGACCCCTAAATTTAAATATTTGCTTTAATTTAAAATTAATCATTTTTTACCCCCAAAATTTTTCTGATTTTAAAGAGGACGTTAAAGGAATATCTGATTGAAACGGCTACAATTCAAAAACAGCTAAAAGGATTTTAAGATAAAACATACCATTTGAAAGAATAGGAACTTTTTAACGACGTATAGACCATTAAAATATATAAAATATTTTTATAAGAAAATACACAAAATAGCAAAATGTTTTGTCAGAAAATAACCTCTTTTTTGAAAATAGAAATAATAGTCCGAGTTTAATGTTTAATACAGTTATAAATTGCACTTGAAAATTTTTGTAAAACGAAATCATGAAAACCGGTTCACTAGGTTTTGAAAAAAACCAATGTATAGCTTTCACAGTTAAAAAATTAATTTACTTTTATGGCTTATTTTTCTTACATGTTTACTTATTTATTTATTTTAGTACATCACAGGGGATGACCCCCCCCCCCCAAGTCAGTACAGTCATATTACAATTTTTAAAAATTAAAAAGTACAAATATTAACAAAATCAATAAACTTATTATAATCACGACGACAAGCATTTATTTCGTTTCTGAATACATTGAATGAGGATCCAAATATATCTAAATTATGCACGCAACAGATTTCATTAAAGGCATTTTGAAGGAAAGTCATTGTACCAAATTTCCCATAATTAGTCCTATGAAACTGGGTATAAAAACTTGTGTCGCTGACGACAACTGTGAGTAGGGTCATGGAAAGTTATCCGACTGAGAAGTTGTGGGCAGTAGTAATGACCGTTTATCACCTTCAACAAGAAACATCCCCATCAACAGAGATCGATCCTGAAGGGAGAACATTTTGCACAGTTTCGACCATTCGTCAAACTCGTTTTCATCTCATTGAAGTCCTAACTTGTTTGTTAAAATATGCAAAAAAATCAGTATTTTGTTGACTTATCTATCTTTTTAAATTATACTAAATTAGAATATTCATTATATTCTGTTCGTCGTTGTTTTTATGTTAACCAAAAATAAATTTAATATACGAAAAATAATATTTTTTAATTTTCATCCCTGGCAAGAATTCCGCATGAATATTTTCACTCTTGGATATTTGGAATATTATTGAACTACACTAATCAATGTCAAAATATCTTCTGGCCTTTGCTTGCTAACAAACTTAAGCAGTTTATGTTGACAATGAGAAAATTTTTTCAAAATTTAATTTTAGTCGCAACGAGCAAAAATCATTATTTAGAAATAAAAAAATATTATTTTTGTCGTATTAACTTCAATCCCTCACTTTGTCTCTCACTGAATAACTCGACCAGTCCTTCAAGTTGTCGCACACTGAATGACTCGCTTCGTCCCTCACTTTTCAAACAATCTGTTGAAATGGAAATACTCTCTAAAAACAACAACACATGCAATCCATATATGTTATAATTGACCTATTTAATTATTTCAATTAGTTATACTTTTTATCTAAATTCTTGGTTGAGATGAAAAAGTTAGTGTCACGAGCGGGATTCGAACCCACGACCTTCGGCTAGCTAATCACGCCGCAGCTCTAACCAGTTGAACTATCGTGACTTCGATACCGAATTTGAGGCGAAGGTCTTGCGTTCAAATCCTGCTCGTGACACTAACTTTTTCATCTCAACCAAGACCGTACATAAAAAGGATATTTAATTTTTAAAAAAATTGTCGAAACCAGGGTCTAGTCACAAAAAATGGCGGATACGTGTCCGATATTTTGGAGTGTAGAATCACCAAAAAAAAGTTTTATCTTAACAACCTGGTCGCCCCTCGTAAGTTGAAGAGTAAAAGAAAATAAGTCCAGATCGCAATTACATTCGTGCACCTCTTCTCACTGGGTCAAACAAGGATTTACATCTCAGAGATGACCTCTAGCCCTCTATCTCTGACCCAGGAATTTGATCTGACCCAGGTGGATAGGATAAAATCTTTTTTTGGTGATTCTATACTCCAAAATATCGGACACGTATCCGCCATTTTTTGTGACTAGTCCCTGGTTTCGACAATTTTTTTTTTGAAATTAATTATTCTTTAATTAATTATTATGACAATTAATTATTTTGAGATGATCAAATGAGATGAAAAAGTCAGTGTCACGAGCAGGATTTGAACGCAAGACCTTCGCCTCGTATTCGGTATCGAAGTCACGATAGCTCAACTGGTTACAGCAGCGGCGTATCGAGCGTGGGTTCGAATCCCGATCGTGACACTGACTTTGTCATCTCAACCAAGACTTTAGATAAAAAGTGTAATTAATTGAAATACATGCAATAACAAACAATAAGTTATCTACTGACGAACTATAATTAATATGATTATTCGGAAATCGTGAGATGCGGTCTGGAAGGTGGACGTAGGTTTCAGAAAAACAGTTTCTTTATCAACACGGCACGCAAGAATGACACAATTACACAGAAAACAAACACTTTGAGCCCTGAAGATGATCTCAATAAAGATCGAAACGTTGGCACGATAAAGAAAATGTTTTTCTAAAACCTATGTCACACCAGAACGCATCTCACGATTTCCGAATAATCATAGACTAACGGTCACTAATCACCAATTATACTTAATATTTGGTTTTGACTGATTTTACCCATTTAGAATGTTTTTCTAATATATTTTTGATTCTGACTCGCCATACGTAAGTCGTAAAGAAAAAATATCCACAGGAAAGACAAAAACAGGAGGAAAAATTCTCGACTCATCCATATTTAACTGCACCTGGCCCCTCTATTATGCCGGTGTGCCCTTTTCTTGCCATCTGTTTCGAAAGTCGGAAAATACCCGGGTTGCACTTTATTATATCAATTACATTTGCAAAAGTAACTTTTTTGCCTCGAGCCCTCGTTAGGGAAAATTGGAAACGAATTGGACATGGTACCAAACTGTCGCAGTTTTTGTGTTATACTCTTGTTTGGATTAAACAGACAAAAAGAAAGTCCTTTGGTGTACAAAGAAATAGGCCACAAACAATAATCCCTAATACAAGTGCCTAGAAGTTATTAAATTTATACAATCGTCTATTTGCTTCTTCTCAATCGTTTATTTTTTTGATACCGTTTGATTGAAAATTACGTAATTCAAATGTCTATTTGTTATCCTTGTTAGAAAATCATTACATTAAAAAGTGAACGCAGAAAGCTATGCGACGAAAGGGTGAGCGAGGTAACGTCAAAGCATAGGTTCAATAATTTTGGCCCCATTACTAACGAAATATGGTGCCTTGAGAGAGACCAAAAGGCTAAATTACTACTCTTACTAAAGATTAGCATCATAGCTTTGTTTAATCAGTCGGTTCGGCCGATTTATAACTATTGACAGTGACTCAAAAGAAATCCTTAATGAAAGATTCCCCTTAAATCCTAACAAACTCATAGAATTAACACGTACGAAAAACTTGACATTATTAGTAAATTAACGTTTATTGGGTGAAGTTGAACTTATTTAGTAAA